TATATATATATATATATATATATATATATATATATATATATATATATTGTTGCATTATTCCACCTTCAGAAAGATGTTTCTTTATGTTTAATCCTGACTTTGTTCTCATTCTAAGATACCAACAAATAAAAAGTTAAAATTAGCTTCTATTTTTTAAGTATTTTTTTAAACTCGTCTTTCAAATGAAACAAAACGCTATGACCCAGAAAGAAAGAAGAATCGTTGAACCTCTAAATTACAGAACTACTTTAATGTTGAAAGGTCTGCCGCTCTGAAATGAAACGCTGAAGCTCGCCTCTGTCTGAAGGCTAATGTGGTTCAACGTGTCATTCGCTGAAACTTTACGTTTGTTCGTAACCAGTTTCTAAAAGTCTAAAGTTTGTGACAGTAAAGACAGAGAGTGAATCTGTCATCAGTACCAGGAACGTTGGTTTGAGAGAGGAGTGAAGGAAGACATCTTTGTGAAGAGAAACCATGCATCATTAAATGGGGCGGAGCCTCCGTGTTCTTCTGTCCCTCTCCTACAATGCTGTTATTGCTAGTTTAACGCAGCCTCCTGTGAATAGCAAGCAGCCATCAGGGCTGCAAAAACAATCCATTTTTAGGATGATGGTCCTCCTTTTTATATGTGAACAGCTATTTCTGCTTGTCACCAGCAAACTGGTTGATCCACTCTGAGAAGGTGCTGTTTATAAGACTGAGTTTGTTGCATCTCCTCAGACTGAAGAAGTCTTTCAGATCAAAGATGAAATGTTTCAATAAAGAAGAATTTGTCCAGATCTGACTCAACCTTGTTGGATTATCATGGATTATTGAGCAGCATCAATAGCTCCATAGCCTCCCTGATCTTCATCTGCCATCTACCCATCTGCATTCTGGGTCCCTGAGCTGCTTTGATGAGGTTGTTGAGAGTGAAGTGGAGACCATCATCAAGAAAATGAAGCCTTCATCCTGCACCCTGGATCCCTTCCCCTCGTCTCTCATTAAATCCAATCACTCTGCAATAAGCCCATTAATCACACAAATAATAAATAAGTCACTGCAATCTGGTCAAGTTCCACTGCCTCTTAAAACTGCCATCATTAGGCCTCTTCTGAAAAAATCTAATTTGGATCCAGACATTCTTTCTAATAACCGCCCAATTTCTCACCTCCCATTTCTGTCAAAAGTGCTGGAAAAAGCAGTTGCTGCTCAGCTGCAGATCCACCTACAACAACACTCCCTGCATGAGAAGTTTCAGTCTGGCTTCCGTGCAGCTCACAGTACTGAGACCGCACTGCTGAGAGTCACCAATGATGTCCTCATGGCTGCTGACACTGGTTCTCCCTCCCTCCTTGTTCTCCTTGGCCTCACTGCAGCTTTCGACACTGTGGACCATAGTATCCTCCTCCACCGTCTTCATGTGGAGGTCGGTCTCTGTGACACTGTCCTGGACTGGTTTAAATCTTTCCTCTCCAATAGGCTGGAATGTGTTAGTCTTGGCAATGCCAAGTCCCAGACTGTCTGTGTCTCCTGTGGTGTCCCTCAAGGGTCATTTTAGGGCCCCTGCTATTTTCCCTTTACATGTTGCCTTTAGGTCAAATTATTAATCAGTACAACATTTCTTTTCACTGTTATGCCGACGATACACAGCTTTACATGAGGACTGGAGCATCATCTTCACAATTGTCATCTCCATCTTCACTCGCTGCCCTCTCTACCTGCCTGGAGGAGATAAGGGCATGGATGAATCAGAACTTTCTTCAGTTAGACTGCTCCAAAACAGAGGACATACTGATTGGCACCCCTCACCAGGTTCAAACTTCAACTATATTGACTATTTCATTTTCTGGACAAGACATCCCCCTCTCCACCTCTGTTACAAATCTTGGAATAAAAATGGACTCTCATCTTACATTTGAAAATCACATTAAGCATCTGTTTAAAACCTGTTTCTTCCATCTTCGAAATATCTCCAAACTGCGCCCATCTCTCACGTTTGCTGATGCAGAGAAACTCGTCCATGCTTTTGTCTCCTCCAGGCTCGACTACTGCAACTCCCTGTTTACTGGAATACCCGGCAAAAACCTTCAGAAGCTTCAATATATTCAAAACAGTGCAGCCAGGATTTTATTGAGAGCTCGTAAATTTGAACATATTACACCCATTCTCCATAACCTCCACTGGCTTCCTGTCACCTACAGAATTCAGTACAAAATTGCTCTCATCACTCATCAGTGTTTATACGGAAATTCACCAGATTATCTGAAGGACCTTCTTGCTCCATATTCATCCACCCGGTCCCTACGATCACAGAACAGTAATCTCCTCCACCTTCCACGAACTAAATTAAGAACCATGGGAGATTGGGCATTCTGTGTGGCTGCCCCCCACCTCTGGAACTCCCTCCCTGAATATCTGAGAGCTCCACAATCATTGACTGACTTTAAAAAAGGCTTAAAGACTTCTTTTTAAGCAAGCCTATTCTGCCTCCACATGATTGATTCATTGATTTTCGTTGATTTTATCATTGATTTTAGTTGATTTTATCACAGATTTTAGTTGATTTTATCACAGTTTTTAGTTGATTTTATCACAGATTTTAGTTGATTTTATCATTGATTTTAGTTGATTTTATCATTGATTTTAGTTGATTTTATCATTGATTTTAGTTGATTTTATCATTGATTTTATCACAGATTTTAGTTGATTTTATCACAGATTTTAGTTGATTTTATCATTGGTTTTAGTTGATTTTATCACAGATTTTAGTTGATTTTATCACAGATTTTAGTTGATTTTATCATTGATTTTAGTTGATTTTATCATTCATTTTATCACAGATTTTAGTTGATTTTATCACAGATTTTAGTTGATTTTATCACAGATTTTAGGTGATTTTATCATTGATTTTAGTTGCACTCTGTAGCACTTTGAGATTTTTGTTAATGAAAAGTGCGTTACAAATTGAATTCATTATTATTAGCATCAGGACATGTCATAATTCAGTTAAAACCGTGAAGGTCAGAGAACAAAAGACTCCTCGTCGACAGCATGACGAGCTGACAGAGTTTGATCCGGGTCACTTTGTGGGTTTTCATGAGGCAGGTGGTTGTTATTCAGCATGTGGGTCGTTCAGGCGTCCCAATGTCCTGATGTTGGACCCAGAGAGTCAGCGAGGACGACCACACATGCGGTGAAGGTTCCATCAGACCACACCAGAGGAGGACTGTCAGAGTCCCTGAGTCTGTCCTCTGGACTCGGATGTTGGACTCATGTCATCGTGAACCATCTTAATAAAAGGCTTGTTTATTTTTCCAGGCCTGTAAAACAACTCTTTTTCAAAAACATTATAAAATAACTCTGGCTAACATTAAACCTCTTTACTTTTGTTCACCATCTGTTGAGCTGTTTTCTCAAACATACAACATGCGTGTAACTGTGAACTTGAGTGTGTCCGGCGCGCAGACGGATTGTGTTTCTGCTGAAAGAGGCAGTGAACGTGTCAGTCCACCTGATCTGCGTGTCTACTGCAGGGGTCTGCAACCTGCGGCTCTGGAGCCACATGTGGCTCTTTGGCCCCTCTTAAAGCTTAGACCAAAACTAACACTTTAAATGAATTAATACACATCATAAGTTGTTATACCAACAACAAAAAAAGCTAGTTTTATCAGTTTTCCTGTAATTTTTTATGAAAATGTGTGAATTCATGTACAAATACACAGCACATGACATATTCACTTTAACTTTATGTTTTACATAGTTTTACCCGTCTGGAGTCAGAACCCTGGTTCGGTGTTTGAACAAAACAACCCAACCTGCCTCCTTTTTGTTGAGGTCTTCCGGTAGACATTCAGGTCCTCCAATTCATCCCTAACCAGACATGTGGGATCAGCTCGGACCCAGCACCAACCAGCTGGATCTCAAGGTTCAGTTCTAACAGCTGAGGGCCGACTTGCTGCAGGAGAGGAAACGACTTTGCAACTAATTTCTGTGCAGTTCAGTTCTCCGGCGTGGTCAAAAACAAACACGCTTTCTAAAATTGACTGGTATCGGGGTTAAAAACTGTCTGGCTTCAGATTATGAGGTTGGTCTTTACAAAATATTTACAGGAAAAGGAACCTGTTAGTTCTCTATGTCGTGCCGCAGTGACTTTACAGAACATCTCTCGGAAATAGTCAGTTCGTCAGCAGCTTCAGTTGAAGCTGTTCAGTTTCTGCTCTGAAGCAGCAACGGCGGTGGATCAAAGATGGACGACAAAGCCAATTATTCCACACTGGTCTTTAAAAACAGCACTGCATCTCAAAAAGGTGAGAGGTTTCTACATTTGTACTTTCTTTAAGAAACACATCTATTATGAACATGTCGCATGTTGTTTGAAGGGTTTGAATTGAGACCATTCATATCTACAGTTACTGAGTTATCAAAGGGGTCTTGTCTTTGTAGTTAAATGTTTTTGTTAAAACTTCGTTTATGATTTATTGGTTGGAAAAAATTGTTTAACAGTTCTAAGGAAGGTTTGGAGGTGTAGACAACAGATCCATGATGTTTCTCTGCTCTTTGTGTGCTACACGGTTGATTTTTGTCTCAGATTTTATGTTTTTCCGGCGTATACACAGTTAGCGCAGTCAGTTAAAAACATTTCGTCTGCACACGGTGGTGCACAAAGAGTCCTGAATCTCTCTTGCAGACATGGTACAAATGACAACTATTGTTTTAGAACATTTCCTCATCTGTTGTTTCTTCTGCAGATGAAAAAGAGGACCTGACAACCTATTATGACAATCCTGTGAAAAAAGCTGAAGAACCTGCAGCACAAAGTGAGTTCTGTAGTTCCTTAAAACATCCAAAGGGTTTGAGTGAAATTCTGTAATAATGCTCTTCTGTTTGAAGCTGTTCTGCAGCCTCATGATAACATGTCAAGATTACCTTATCAGACACAAACATCAAATCAGGAGCTCCATCATTTAAGTTAGGCTGAATCAAAGCAGTTCAGCCAGTAACTGACCTTGTTTCTCAGCTGCCTCATCAAATGGTTAAACTGGGAATAGGTTAGCTCACTTCTTTAACAAGCAACTTTTATTGTTGTTGGACAACATGAATAATTCTTATTCAAGATCTATTAGTTGTACCAACACATATCAGATCCTCATACAGTTTGTTTTTTCAGAGGAAAAGGACAACCAACCCATTTATTCTGAAGTTAAACCTAAGAAGCAAGAATCAATGGCACCAAGTAAGTTTTGTATTTATTAAAACATAAACCATCATATCAGGTCAACCACTGACTTGCCTGCTACCGTTAACCATGACACGCAGCACTACTCGTGACTGTGGGTCACCCTCCACATCTGGGCTCCAGCCTGATGTGAGAATGTTCACCCTGGAGAAGAATATCTGGCCAAAGTCTGTGATGGTCTCATGGAAAACAGTGACAGTGAACAGTGCTCGGTGGCAAGCTCTTCCATCCCAGTGGTGATAAACACTTCTATACAGTCACTGCAATGCAGATTCACTTGAGTTTGTCTTGGTCTGAACTTGTCAATGCTCATTTCAATTACTGTCAACAAATATGCTTTAAGCCTACACGCCTTCTTCTTCGTCTTCTTCTTGAGTTGCCACAGTGAGTACTCGTCCTCCATCTCACTCTGTCCTCTGTCCTCACTCCACCTCCATGTCCTCTCTAACTGCATCCATAGATCTTGGGCTGTTTCCTCACAGCTGCATTTCTAACATCCTACTACCTATATACTCACTGTCCCTCCTCTGGACACGTTCACACCACTGTCCCTCCTCTGGACATGTCCAAACCATCTCAGTCTGGCCTCTCTAACTGTACCTCTGCTTCCCTAAATTTATGTTTCTTCTCTACACCACATCCAACCTGTGGAGCATAACCACTGACATTTATCATCAGACCTTCTACTTTCGGACACATCACCCTATCTGGCACTCTTTTGACCTCTACTACAATGTTTTCCAACTCCTCCTTCAGGACCACCCCTACTCCATTTCTCTTTATATCCACACCAGGGTAAAAAAGTTTGAACCCTGCTCCAGTGCTGTGAGCCTTGCTGCCCTTCCACGTGGTCTCTTGGACACATAAGATCTACCTTCCTTCTCTGCATCATGTCAGCCAGCTCTCTACCTTTGCCTGTCATTGTCCCCACATTTAGAGATGCAACCCTCAGTCCTACATTTCTGACTTTCTTCTTCTCCCTCTGTCTCCTGACACATTTCCCTCTTCGTGGTCTTCAACTAACAGTAGCACAATTTCCACTGGCACCCTGTTTGTCAACAGCACCCACCATTGTTAACCTGGGCCTCGACCGATCCAGTATGCTTTCACTTTGACGAACTCGCATTTTGGTTTTGGCAAAAGTGTTGCCCTTCCTGACACAACCCTCACCTTGTTCACCACAGACATGGACTTTTTGGTTACTGTGGTCCACTAGTGTGTTAAAAAGCAGGTTTGGCTTGTGGGGCTACAGCAGTTCTATACTCGTTCTATCGTGGTTTTTCAAAATAAGACTAGACATGACACACAACTGGCTGATTGATGGATGAGCCACACGATCGGCATGGATATTTTTATTTAAAATTAATTATTTTAAATGATTTAGCAGTGGCAAAGAGCGGAGATCATGACATGCTGTGCTCTTTAAGAGCTTTAGAGTTTAGAAACATTGTTTAGAAAATTGCAAGTGTGGGAAGGGTTTAAAACGCCTGTGTGTGTGTGTGTATATATATATATATATATATATATATATATATATATATATATATATATATATA